TTGGCTGCTGGGGAGCCCTCCCTGAACGCTGGGCATTATTGAGTGAATTCTCATTTGGTTTTTTCCTGTCTGCTTTCCAGGAGCCTCGGCTGCACCGTGGTGGAGATGCTGACAGAGAAGCCCCCCTGGGCAGAGTACGAAGCCATGGCAGCAATCTTCAAAATTGCCACCCAGCCCACCAACCCCCAGCTCCCCTCCCACATATCAGAACATTGCCGGGACTTCCTAAAGCAGATCTTTGTGGAAGCCAGGCACAGACCCTCTGCTGAAGAGCTGCTCAGACACCAGTTTGCACAGCTCCAGTACTGAATTACCTCCCTTGCTCACAGCTCCTGCTGGGCTTTCCGTGCCCTGTCTTGTCTAGTTGCAACTGCCCGTTGTGGTGCTGCATCTTCAAAATGCCAACTCGGCTAGGCCTAGTCCTTTGGGAAGTTCTGCCAAGGAACTTGGGGTCTGCTCTCGTGCCTGATCCTTCGTTTGCTGGACTGATGTTCATCCTGCCGACAGCTGTCCGAGCAAAGCTGCGTTTTCCCGTTACCTGGATGTGACGTTGCAGCTGGCTGCGTGTTTTCTGCCGGCACAGGAATGGGAATCTGACAAGTGTCCTCACTTGCTGAACATAGGAGAAATCTGAACCCAGGTGGGAACTGGAAGAGCTCCATTCTTCAGCAAAAGAGAAACTTGCACCAGCCTCCAGACCAGCTCTGTCTGTGGGAGTCCCTGGTTTCCCCTGCTGGGGCTCCAGAGGCGTCTCCAGTACCTGAATCCAGCAAAAAGCCACGTGTCATGGAGCCTGTGCTTGCTACAGGATGGTATATTCTTCTTCTTGAGTATTCAGCATCTGAAGGTGTTGAGAAAATATTGATTCAAAAGTATGTGAATTGTGTTATTTTATAATGAACCCGTGGATTTGGGGGTGAGGGAGGTCTTTCCAGCTAAATGTTGGGATAATCAGACATTTCAGCAGAATGCAATCACTCCAGGACCTGAGGGAAGGGCTCTCCTGCTCACGTTGCAAAATCCAGAGCTAATTTCCAAGGTTTGACCTGTCCCAGCATTAGGACAGTGCCAGTTAGTTTGTGTTGTACCAGACAAATCTGTGCTGTTCCTTCTCTCTCTGGGGCTGCTGGATTCAAACAAAACCCCTCTGGAAGGGAATTCAGTGGAATTCAACTTCCTCCTGCATCTGTCTTTCACTGGTAACTTTTTACCATCCTTTTAACCAAAGATAGTCCATCTGGTGCCCAGGAATTTACTTCAGAGTTTCTTTGAGCACATGGCCTAGTGGAAAATTGAGGGTTTCTTGGGGAGAATTACCTGGACACTCGTTCTTGTGCACAGGAAGCTGGAATCGAGCTCAACCCTTTGCTTTGTGGTGTTTGAATTACAGCTGTGCAAGTGATCATTTAAGAGTTCCATAAAAATGTTAAGGCCTAACTTAAATAAGCTTTTGTAGGAGTCAAGTCAAACAGGGAACCTGAGAAAATATTTAAAATGGTGGCAAATATCTAAAATTACCTGGAGATCCCCGTGCAGGTACCAGCAAAACATATCCAGGTGACTGTGCACTTGAAAGATGTCACAAGTCAGAGGACTGAGGTCCTGATGACATCAGATCCTCTTCTCCTGATCTGGGCACCAATAATCTTTGTTTCACTCATGAAAGACCAGCAGTTTTTAAGTGCTGGGGATTCATAGAGTGATTATAAATTATCTCTGAGAAATGAAAGAAAAGCAAATGTTAATTAACTAGAATATTGCTTAATAGGGCAACACTGAAGGTGTTCTGCTCTTGTATTGGAAACCATATTAAGGTTCCACACACCTCCACTCTTCTCCCCCATAAAAAATTGAAATTTTAATGCATTATGGAGCAATTTAACCTTTTAAATGAATAAGGCCAGTTTTAATGAAAGTAAGCTCTTTCAACACATGAAAAATACTGTGTTGAATTAAAAGAGGAAAAAAAAATACCCTAAGAGCCCCAACCAACCAAAAGTCCTGAAAAGCTTTAACAATATGAAATGTTTTTTCTGTGCCAAACCCAGAGCAAACTGTAACCAATAAAAGCTGGTGTTGTCCTTTCCAGGCTCCCTGCACTACTCCAAGGATGCACTGTCCCACTTGTGGGCACTTAGGGGATCCCTTTTATTAATGCCCTTGTTCCATAATTTATTTAATTATAATGAGAGCACTTCAGTTGATCTTTCCCCAGGCAGGAACTCGACTCCAGATTGTCCAGACCCTTGGCCTGACTTCTGGCCTGCACTTCACTGTTGCCATGAGGGGAGGCTGTGAGGCTCCTGCTCAGCTCAGGGAGCTGCTCACACCACTTGGCTGGCACTGTGGGATTATCCCTGCAGGCTGCATGACAAAAGTAAGGGGTCAGCACCGCTGGGGGGCCCAGCTCTTCACGCCTTGCAACCTAAAGATACCAAAGATTGGAGTCTTCATCCACCGCCCGTCCCTTGCAGGGATCAGGAGCACAGTGATACCTGTCCTTGGCTCGTCCTCACCAAATCCAGACCTTCTCCCATGGTTTTTCTCTTCCTGTCTCATATGCTGTGATTTGGGGGAGAACAGGGCGTGAGGAAACAGCGGAACTTCTGTCAAAGCAGCTCAATCCTCAGGACCTGTTGTGGCTTTTACCTCACCCGCATCACGGGAGGCGCCTCCCAAGCGGAGCAAGAGCAGCCGGGAGCGATGGGCTCGGCGCTGTCCCCGAGCTCGCAGCCCTCGGCCGTGCTGGAAGCGCCTCCTCTGTGCAAAGCCCTGCGCTCCAGGCTGGAATGGGACTAAACTGCAGCTGTGCAGCGACAGAGAACACGGGGCCAGCTCGGACTGGCGCCTCCAGCAGCCGCCCCGGCGCCACGCGTTCGGCACAGGAACAAGCCAAAGCATTACCTGTATGTTTGGAGATGCACTTTTATGAATGTAGTTTATATCGCTCTTTTTTAGCTCTTTTTACATCATGTAAACAGTGATGCCTCATATTTTTTTTTTTTAATTTATATCGTAAAAGATCATATTTGGTGATTTTTATATATATCGACTGTTATGGGGTGGGGGAGGTGGGGAAATAAATTTGACGCCTTTATGAATTTAAAAAGGAAAAAGAGCAGCTGGTTTTGCAGAGAATTTGCTGATGGTTTATAATGAGTAGAGCCAAGCCGAAATGCCTCTTTGTTTCCTCACAGCCCTCTTGATTATGGAAAAGGAAGATGTGGAATCCTGAGTCCACTGCTCCAATGAATAACTTGGGGCTGACATTGATACCATGGGCTTTTAACAGCCCTGGCAGCAAAAGAGTTTCAAGTGGACAGAAATGTAATTATACCTCAGAATTGAATTGCATCTGGCCTCTTTATCCTGGTACACAAGAAAAAAACTGGGAATAAACTCATTTAGGGGAGAGTGGAGGAGGCGTGCCAGGCTGACAATAAGCTATTGTGTGAATTCCAAATGTCAGGTTGGACTTCCTGCTGTTCCTTCCAGGGAGGGATATATAGGGAATATTGAGTATTGGGATCCCTGATGGAAGGTGCTGCAGAAATGCAGAATACTCTGTTTGACAAATAATTTCTTATCAGAGTCGCACTATCCTGAAATGGTTAAAACTAATCAGAAAGTGTCCGAGATTCCCTTTGGAGAGGAACCTGGGGGGGATCTGGCTGTCCCTGAGGTAGTTAGGAAACAAAGTAGTGACATTTTGGTCTTGGTGTGACGATTCTGTGCATTCCAGGTTACTTGCTTGTTCTCCAGAAAATCCCATCTTTGCCCATTCTAGTGGCAGTTCAGTTGCATCAGTTTGGATGGATTTTTTGGGATGGTTTTTTTTGCCTAATTTGGAATAATACTCCAAAGAATTTGAAGCTGCTCCAAAGAGTTCCCATTGACACCAGTTACCAACATAAACTGAAGGAAGGAAAAGGTAGGTGTGCCAGGAGCAGTTCAAAAAGGAAGAAAAGGACTTTGTTATCACCACAAATGAGGCAAAGCAGGGAGAAGGGGCTTTAACCTGAATTGTGCAGAAGACCTTGACCCAGTAGTCTCTATTTACCGACCGGGGGCTTGCAGTGCAAAGCCAGGCCAATGTATCATTTTATTTACAATAAAATTATCATTTATATGAAAATCTGTTTTGGTGACTGGCCCTTTAAAAAACAAAAATTCAGAGAAGGAAAGCCTCTGGTTTTCAGACAAGTGGGAGATACCAGGAGCTGCCTGCCAGAAATGGAGCTTCCCACCTGGTTTAATGTTCTTTTTCTAACTGAAAACCCACCTTTAAAAACCTGGGTTCCATGCTTCCCTACCCCCTTAAAATCACCTGGTGTTGTTAAAACGCTGCTGGTGCGGCTGTGCCGGAGGGAATGGGGAAGTGATGCTGGGCAGAGGCAGAAGCAGCACCGAGGGCTCTGCACTCATTTCTGAGCCTTCTGCAGAAGGAAGGGGTGGGGGAAGGAGCCCCAGGTCTGCAGCCTCACAGCCCCTGGGTGGCTTTTTGGGGTGTAAATCTGCCACCACTGTCCCTGTGGGGAACAGTTAAAGTTCTTAGTGAAGCTGAACCCCCCTGAGAGCCTTGCCAGGGTCTGTGTGCACAGTCCCTGTGGTGTCCCCAGGCCATGCTCGCCCAGCAGCCCTTTCAGAAGTTCTGTGAAAAGGAGAAATAACTTGTCCAACATCAGGCTCCTCTGGTCATCCAGCCTGTGGATCCATCCAGTTCCCAAAAACTTGGGGGCCCCAGGGGAGGCTTCTGGTCAGGGGCCTTGCACCCTGGTCACCTCTGCCCAGTCCTCATGGTCTGCAGGACCCCTCAGAGCACTCCCCAAAGAAGGGTGAGCTGCCTCTTTCCCACCCCCTCCCTTCCCTCCCAGCCTCACACACACACAGGTATCCAGGTATCCTTGATCCTGCAGACATAAGCTCTTTCCCCAGTAGCAGGGCAGACGTGACCACTAGTCCCACCTCCCCAGGCCCCTGAGAACACAGGACAAGACAGGGAAGGCTCAGAAACCTTGTATTACAAAAATAAAGGAGCGCATGTGAAGCTGCCGCGGGGCTCCAGCGCAGAACGTACCAGTCAAAGGCAAATATAAAAAAGAGACACTGTTAAACCGTGGCAGGGCAGCATCCTTAAGGCTGAACCATCCCAGCTGAACTGAGCTGATGTAAATCGAGGACCCTCCTTATCCAGAGCCCCAGCAGTGCAGGGCTGGTGGCAGAGCTGGGAGCTCTGCAGTCACTCACAAGCTGGATAAGCCCCCAGCTCGTCTCCTTTTCCATGGGGACAAGCCCGAAGTGGATCAACAGGGCTGGGACTCCCATGGGTGCAATTGCTTCTGCTCTGATCTCACTGGGGAGATGAGCCTGCAGAGCGAGGGCTTCAGGTCTGGGGGCTGCACCCTGGTCACCTCTGCCCTGTCCTTCAGGCCTGCAGGACCCCTGTGAACACCCTGCCCTCCCACAGGTCCTGCTTTACATCAGCTCAGTTAGCCCTGGCTCAGCTCCTCCGGCTCTGCTGGGCTCCAGGAGCGGGGCTGGCCCCACTCACGCCGACTTGGTCCCACTCTCCACCTCCTTGTGCACCCACAGCTCCTTGTGCTGCTTGCGCCCGAAGCCTTCGTCATAGTTGCCTTTACTCTTGAAGAGCTGTTGGAAGTGGGGCTTGCAGTAGAATTCCCCGTGGAGCGCAGCATAGCTGCCCAGGCTGGGGAGGGAGGGCAGGGTTAGACAGGCATGGAGATGGAGCTGCAGCCTGGGGAAAGTGAGGGGGGCTTGGGGACACCGAGACAACACGGGGGGAACATGCAGGAGGGGACCCTTAGGGCCAACAGCTCCTTCCCACCAGCAGAGGCTATTGGGGGCTGCTGTGAGTAGAGACGGGGAGGTCCCAGGGGAGCTCAGCCTCGGCTCTGTGTCCTCTGGAAGGAGGCTCTGGCTCAGCTCTATGTTCCCCTGGGACTGCTCTCAAGGGGAAGCATCTCTGCTTCTGTACCAGGTGGGATTTAGCTGAGACTTGGGCCAAGGTGTGCAGATAAACCTTTGTTTTGCAGTGATGGGTGGGCTGGGGGTCTTTGGCTACTGGCCAAGCAAGGGGCTGTGATGGGGGGGCACTATTTGGGAGGGTCTCGGCAGAGCTGCAGACACCATGGGGACAGCCTGGCTCACCTGAGCTTGGTGTGGCAGTGCTTGCAGCAGAAGCAGGAGTTGTGGAAGACAAATTTATCAGCCACCAGCCGCTCCATGGGATACACGGTTTTCTGGCAGGCAGTGCACATCTCCTTCACCTGTGCCTTCAGGCTGAAAGACTGGCCAAGGGCAGAACAAAGGGAGACAGAGGATGAGGACAGAGTTTGGGACACCCTGGATCCCTCCACTGCCCTCTCCCTGCCCTCTATTCACTGGGGAGCAGGAAGCAGCCTCATCTCCCTCACCCTCCCTGGGACACTCCACTGATGCTGGGCTGGATTGGAGCTTGGTCCTTGGGCTTTTGGCCCTTCCACCCTTGCCAAGAATCAGCAGGAAAAGGCCCTGGCACAGGGTGCCCAGGGAAGCTGTGGCTGCCCCATCCCTGGCAGTGTCCAAGACCAGGCTAGACAGAGCTTGGAGCAGCCAGGGACAGTGGAAGGTGTCCCTGACATGGCAGGGGTGGGACTGGATGAGCTTTAAGGCCCATTCCAACCCAGGCTGTTCTGAGATGATTCTATGATGTAGAAAAAACAAAGGTACCTTGGAGCGCTGCACTGTGCTGCTTCCTGAGCTGTTCTTTGCCTCCTAAAAAGGGAAGGAGAAAGCAAAATGAGAGCTGGGCACAAACCCCTGTGACCTGCACCTGTAAATCATCACCTGAGGCTCATGCACCTATACCCAGCAGCTCTGCACGGAGATGCTGCTCCCTCGGAGCGGGATAATCAGCTCCTCTTGATGCAGGTGCACAGGGCTCGGGCAGTGGGTCCTTGCCCGAGCTCAGGGGGCAGTGGCCCGTTCCCCCAGGCATAGCTGGGTGCCCCTCACTGTCCCGGGGCTGCTCGAGGCAGATGTTTTGCTTGCAGCTGCTCTGCCCCTCACAGCCCCTCACACTGGGGCTGTGCAGGCTCGGGGCTGTGGGAGGGCATGGGCAGAGCTCACAGAGCTCTGGGGCTCCTGTGTTTGGGGACAGAGGCTGCTCAGCCCTGCAGCAGCAGGACACAGACCCAAACACTGAGCAGCCTCTACCTGTGCCCCAGGTTTCAGGGCAGGGTGTCTCGGCACCGTGTCCATCTGCAGCTGCAACAGCTCATCCCTTCCAAATCCTCACCTGCTCCACATCCTGCACCCTCCCCAGGGCACCCGTGGGGTCCCTGACAGCTGCCTCAAGGAGTTTTACCTGCCTTGGCACTGATGGAAGTGCTCCCTCCTTCCCAAAGTTGGGATCCAAGGGGCAGTCACACTCCAGCAGGGTGACCAGTCAGGGTTGGCTCATCCCCCACTCCTTGTTCCCAAGGTTGAGTGAGGCAGTGTGACCCTAGGATGTCACCCCAGGATGTCACCCTGCTGTCCTTGTCCTTCCCCTGCCTGCCCAGCGCTGCCGCTCTCTACCCCCAGGCTGATCCCCCACCCCCTGTTCCTCCTGCCTTGCCCTTCCCCATCGTTTCTCCTTTGTATTTTTGGAAACAGATTGTTTAAGAGACGCACAGGAAACTGTCCCCTGGCCGAGCTGCCTCCTCAGACGTTTCCCAGCTGCTCTCACTGACTGAGGTCAGGGATGTGATTTTCCTCTCTCCCCCACGAGGCTGGAAGCAGGAGCCAAAGTCAACAGTGGGACATGGGCAGCAAGGAGGCTCTGGCTGTGTAAAACCAGTTGCATCCCTTGGCACTGGCAGAACAACCGCAGGTGCTCTCCTGGGGTTAGGATTTAATATGCTGTTTCCAGGCTCAGCTGACCAGAGCTAAGGAAAATGCTGCCTCTCTGGAGCTGAGATACATCCGTTCCCAAGGCTACAGCAATCCACGGCTGCTCGTCACTTCTCGGCAGCCTCCTGGCCCCATCGGGCACACTCTCTACTCCGTATCTGATAGATCTTCCCTCGGGGAAGGGCCGTATCCTGTCCCAGCAGGAGATGTTCCTGAACCTTTATGTTTTTCCATCTCCAATCACTCCAGTCCTAAGCAGCTCCAAAGTTCTCAATTGTGATCACGGAAAGCCATGGAAACACAAACAAACAGACAGCGACTCCAGACAGCAAAGGGGTGAGAGCTCTGGAGGGGCCAGAGCCTGAGGCTGACGTTCAGCATGCTCAGCAAACAGCACCTTCTGCTGGAACGTTCCTGCCCCCAGTTCTGTTGTTTGAGTAGCAGTGACTGTGCCTTTGATCACCCTAAAATGTCAGGTCAGGAACACAGCTTCTGTGTACAACCCTCCCTCCCTGAGAGCCCAAAGCCAGCTGAAATTCCCATACAAACCACAGGATGCCTCGTACATGAGTTGAGGGTGGGCTGGCAGCTCCCGTGGCCTGGAACATGGTTCCTTTCCCTTGTCTGTCTGTTTAATCCTGAGCTTGAAGCCTGTGGGCCGATGTTCCCTGCGGAGCTGTCTAAGACAGACTCTTGCAAGACCTGGAAAGGAAATGTCATCAGGAGTGGGGCTGGTTTCATCACCCAAGCCCAGCAGCTCTGCAGGAGCTGGTGTGTGCTCAAAGCTTCCTCCGTGGGGTCAGATCAGCCCCGCTGGGCTGGGGCTTCCTGAGAGACCCGAGGCACTGGACTGATGGACAGGAGATGCAGGTCTGGGATACTGAGACAGCAGCTGGAGAGTTTGGGGCTCTGAACACCTGGAAGGTGATGTGATGGTTTCTGCCCCAAACCCACACATGGAAGCACCAGGCAATGACCATGCCACTGCTAGCAAGGCTGACCCCAAGCCAAAGCAGCAAAACCAGCACTTGTGCTTCACTAATGCAGCCACTACAGGACTGGTGTTGCTGGAGGAAGGACTGTGATTTTAGTCTAATTTTAGCCCAGCAAAGTCTCGCTGATCACAGCTCAGCAGAGCAAGTGATGGGGATTTTGTCTCCTCGAGGAGCCCACGTCGGCTGAGCCTGTGTGATGTGCTGAGTGCCTCGGAGGATGAGGCTGACAGGGCTGGGACCAGCACAGGAAAAAACCACCAGCATTGCAAATCATCCCTTTTGGTAAAAACGAGCTGAAAGGGCACTGACAGCTCCTCAGGGGGTTTTCCCCACCCCACTTTACCTTCAAAACACCGTGAAAGATGAGCCCTGCTTTGAATACACAGGACAGAGCTGTGGGGTTGAGTGAACACTGCCAAGGGAGGAGCACAGCAGCAAAAAGGAGGGTGAAGGGATGGCTCTGCAATGATGGGGATGAGCTGGAGGCTGGAAAACCAGCACCTCCCTCTGCCTGGGACTGCCTTCCTGTCCTACTGAACCCCCTCAGCCTCATACTGCCACCCCAAAAACCTTCCTGCTTCTCAAGGGCTGGACTAGACACTGAGAAAGCCCCAGGGCAGAGACATGTAAGTGTGGAGGGCTTGCAAACATGTCCTGAGTTTTGGGGGGGGTTCTTTGGCTGCCAAACCCCCAGCAGCTGACATCAGCCTTGCATTACACCCAGCAAAGCACCTAAAATTCATGTCTGCTTTCAGAGTTGAAAGAGCCTTACCCCAGGTCCTGGGCACTGGTGGGTGCCCCTCACAGCCCTGCGGCTGCACAGCCCTGGTTGCAAACATTTCCCAGCCTCAGCTGAGACCCAGCCCTGTTCTATCAAAATCATTTCCCGTCTCTCTGCGGTTTGTTGCTATTTCCTGCTCTCCGAGCTTGCTCGCAGGCAGCTGCTGCTGAACCCAGCATCTGCTGGGGGCCAGGGCCCAACCCCACAGCCCCTCCCTGCCCCCCTTCCCTGGGACAGGACCTTCTCGTGGTCCCTCCGGGGTCTGTCGGGTCCTACGGCCCAGCACAGACGCTGCAGGGAACGCGAGGGACCCAGAAAACCTTGTGCCCCCACTCCACACACACCTCTAACACAGATGCACAACCCTCCCCTTTTCACCCCCCTTTTCACCTTCACCCCAGCATTTGTTACAAATATTTGTCCTCCCCCAACTTCCCTTCCCTCACAGCTCATCTTCCTCCCCTACCCCTGACACCTTCTTCCCCTCGGTTTTTCCGGACTCTTCATCACCCTCCTCTTGCCCTTCCTCAGAACCTGGGATAGGGGAAGGTGTCCCTGCCCATGGCACCAGATGATTTTAACTCAAACCTTTCAGGGGTTCTCTGACAAACACATGACTATTCCACCTACTATTTGTTCCTTCACTCCTCATGCCCCCAGCCCCGTTTCCCCTCAATTCCACGCACTTGTCCCACCGCACAGCTGGCTGTTCTCCCCCAGCCCCTGCAGGCCCCAGCCCTCCGTGCTCGTACCTCTCGCAGGCCTGTGCCCGCGCTGTCCCGGCCCGGCTGCAGAGAGAGCCCTTGCGGGAGCTGCTAAAGCTCCTTCCTGCCAAGGGCAGGAGCAGAGATCTCAAAGGGGAAGGGTGTGCTGAGGCGATAAGGGAACAGAACAAGTGAGGAACTACACGAGGTTTTCTTGGAGGCTCTCGGCTGTTGTCACTGCTCTTCCCAGGAGCACAGGCTGGCACTGGAGCCCAAGGCAGCCACCACCAGCCTCCATGAGGGGGGATCGTGGTGACACGGCAGTGCCTAAGGACTGCTGCCACACCGATGTTACAAAGCCTTCACGACAGCTCAGGAAGCCTCGGGCTCGCTGGCTTTGAGGGGTGCGGTGGGCAGGCGTGACAAAGCCCCAGGCCCACAGCGGAGACTGGCACCAGAGCTGCCGGCACAGTCAGGATCTGACTGTCCTCAAAGCCCTCAGCCACTCACACAGCCTGGGAAGAGCAGCAGCAAGGACCGTCCTCCTCTCTAGGTGGTGCCAGCAGTTTCGGGTTTTTGGCTCAGGACAAAGAGAGAACCCCTTCGCCTTCCAGCCTCTCTTGTCCTGCCCCTTGCAGCGCCTGATGGCTCCAGGCAGGGAGGAGTGTGAGGAGAGGAGGGCAACGCTGCTCGATCAGAGAGCTTTTCCCTAACAGCCTCCTGCATCCCCTCTCACCTTTCTGCCTGACCCTGGGGCAGATGGAGGCAGAGGGAAGCTGGGGTGGCCCCTCAAGGCAATCTCCGATCTCAAGCTGCCGAAGGATCACGTTTCCCACAGGCGGGACGGGTGCAGGGAGCCTTTCCCCCTTCTCATCTCCAGAGGGGCCACCAGGGCTGATCCGGCCCGGCCCCCGTGGGCCTCAGGCCGGCGCTGTTCGAGGGGCTCCAGCACAGGGAAGGAGTGTGACCACGGAGGCCCAGAGGCCCCTCTCTACCATATGGTTCCCATTAGCAGCCCTGGGAAGGGTTTGTTTACTGCAGGGATCACTGTTCCACTGCAGGAGGCTTTCCCAAAGGCAAAGCGTGGTGTGGGGGATCTGGGCCCCCTTCCTCCTCCATCCTTGCAGCACATGGAGTATCCCCAGAGCAGGACCAGGCACTTCAGGCTCTCAGGCCTTTCCTCCAGGAAATCTTGGGCTGAGCTGATGACTGTGGGGATGGATGTCCCCAAAATCCTGTGCAGGATCAGTGAAACCCACACAGGACAGAGCTGATCCTCCAGCTCCATGGCCATCATCCCTCAGAGCTGGCCAGTGTGGGCAGGAGGCGAGCAGGAGCTGGAAGAGCCTGTCTCCTGATCCTGGGAATCACCCAGCTCCCAAGGCTCAGTTTCTGCAGTCTTGGGGTCTCACAGTTGACCCACACCATGAAACAAAGTGTGGTGCAAAACCAGCATCAAACAGGCCAGTCCAGAGCCACGCACAGCAGAGCCAGGGAAGGGATGATGGAGCGAGGCCACAGCTCCTACACTAGGCATGGAATCCCTTAATTCAGCTTCAGGTCTTGGCTCCTGTGTGGCTTTGAGCCAACCTCTTGACCTCACTGGCACTGGGGAGCCAGGGCAGCTCCCTGCTGGCTCGGCACAGGGTGGAGGACTTCAGGGAGCAGAATCTGGACATTTCTGGGGACATCTCCACCCTGCTGGTGAGATTCCTGGGGAGTGGACCTGACCCTGCCCCACCCCATGGCCAAGAACCACCTTCCACCAGCCTGCTCCACTAATCCACTTTCCATCCACGTTCTGCCTCTTGAAAGGCTGCCAGTAGGCAGGAAATCTGCAGCTGAAATGCTGAGGGATGCTGACAAGGAATAGTTGTGGGGAGGAATAGGGCTGCCTTTGTCAGGGCAACAATGGGGGACCCACAGGAGTCGGGGGGAGCCCAAGGGAAGTCCATGCCCACCCACTCCCCTCTCCCACTTCCATACCTGCCTCCCCTGAGGAAGAGGGGCACAGCTCCAGAAGCACCAGGGCCTGGGGACTGGGCTGGTCCCTGCCCCTGCCTCTCAGTGAGAGGGCCCATGGGCCAGCAGGATGCTACTGGGATTCACCTGCTTTCCAGAAGTAGAAACTGAGGTGGCCCATTCCTGAGAATGTGGTGTTTAATGGCAATCCATTAAAAATCATGATCTGAAGGGATTCTCTGCCCCCTGGGATCTCCTGTCTTGCTGAGAGTTCAGAGAGAGCAGAGAAGCACAGCAGAAATCCTGACAGGAGGATGAGAAGAGACTTTTCCAAGCAGAGTCAAATTCTCAGTAGTGCCAGACAAATATTGCAGGTTGAGAGGTTCAGGCTGGACATTAGACAAAAGTGCTTCGCTGGGAGAAAGCTTGGAAGCAGAACAGGCTAATAAGGTGCAATATAAACCTGGTGCAAACAAGCACAACAGGCAAAGAGCAGCTCATGTCCCTTCCCTCCCCTTGTAAGCTCTTCCCTAATCTCTTCCATAAACCATACTGCACCTGGAAACATCACCTCCTGTACATCAACACAAATGTACAGCCATTTACCATTAGACATTAGCTCTTCTCCCATCACATGTTTGTCTTTCATAGAGTGACCACATTCAGGAGAAGCAATTCCTTTTAACTCTCGTGTGGTGGGGTGTCCTGCCGTGCTGACCTGATGCAAACAGGTGAGCTGCTCTGGCACCTCCACATCTGGGAGATCTCAGTCCTTGGTACTCTGATACAAAACTCCAGCAGTCCTGAAAGCCTTACATCCCTCCTTGCAGAAGAATCCAAGTGTGTTGTCCTTCCATTTTGTCTCTTTTCCCTGTCCTTTTTTCTGTCTCCACCTAAAATAATCATTTCCTTGGGCTCTATTATGAGGCCCTGTTGTTAGGTTAAGTGTGCTTAACATTGATATTGCAATAATCCTTTTGTCCAGATTTAATGTTTTCCATCCCAGGGCTTTTGCTAAGAGTGAGGTAAACGCTGCAACACCCCCAGCTGGCAGATAAAAAATACTTAAGTGGGAGGGGAAAGCAGACATGTCTTGGGGGGGACATGGCAGCTGCCTGGCAAAACCCTGCAAGCGCTCAGGGTGGGAGAAAAGGAAAAGAAAAACTCCATCACCCTCCAGGACCAGAGGGATAGTTGACTCACTGAAGGAAACCAGAGGAGGAATTCCCTTCCCTAATGACAAGTCTCATAGGAATTTTGCTGTCCAAAAAAAGTCAGGAACCTGTTTCTGAGCTGTGTAAGAATGAAGATGCATTCAGACACTTTGCAAAGCCCAAGAGGTTGCTTCTGATAGATCCTCACCTTGCAACTGGGAATTTGCTTCTTGCAGGGCTCCCATTTAAAAAGGACATTAATACTGGGGTTGTTTCAGACTAAGCTTGGTCAATTGCCCTACAATTTATTTTGTAATCTACATTAATAATGCTACAGATGTGCTGCTCCTGGCCTTAAACACACAACAGCTCAGCTGAGGCACCAGATGTCCTCCCTGTGAGAGCCCTCACACGACGTCTTTGGTGGACAAAGCCCAATTTTCAAGGCTGGATTATCAGGCTTTTTTCAAAACTGATACCCACACCATGAAAAAAATCAGCAGGAAATTGGTCATAAATATGATCTACAAGGTATCTTAGCTTGTTTGAAGTGACCCAAAGGAATTAGACAGATCAGGCTGTCTCAAAACACAGTAGTTACAGCACCAGACTGGGACTCAGGAGACCTGGGCTTGATTCTTAAGTCTGCTGCTAATTTTGGGTGGCAGTGGATAAATAATTTCATTTTTTCTGTTCCCCTTTCTGCACCTCCCCTTGATGAAAACAGAGCTGCTCTCCATTGTGAAGCCCTGGGAGATCCCTGGCTGTTAAGGGTTATGTCGGAGCCCAGAGCATTTGTGTTGTTATTAAATCTCACAGTCATGCAACAGCCTCCCCAGGGAAGTGATGAAAGACCTGTCGCTGGAAAGGTTTCAATGCAGGCTGGATGAGCGGTAGGAGACACACCATCGGGAATTGGCAGGCATTAACGGCGGGGGATAAGGGAGTCGGGATCTAACAGGTTTTTTCTTCCATCTCTGCTCCTTCTGATCAGCTTAATAAAATGGATCTGTCCAGCCCTCCTCCAGCATGTACTGCAGCACACAACAAAGGGAATTACAGCCCAATCGGGGAGCGGGAGCCCCGAAATACGCGCCCAAATCGGCGCCCCCGGAGCAGAGCCGGGCAGCGCAGGCCTGCGGCCGCAGCGGGTGCCAGCCCCCGCCGGGGCTCACTCGGCTCCGGGAGCTCACCCCGCTCCCCAGCCGGCTCCGGGGCTCCGGCAGCGCCTGCCCCGGCTCCCAACACCCCCCTTCCAGATCTCCGGTCTGCCTCCCGCGACCCCCGGGCCGAGCCCCCCTCCCGCAGCCGAGCGCTGCCGGTACCGCGGGGACGAGCCCCGGACCAGCGCTGCCGTGCCCGGGGCGCCCCGAGCGTTCCTGGCTCCCCTCTATCCCTTCTCCCTGCCCGCCCGTCTCTCTCCCTCCCCGCTGGTGGCTCCGGCTGCCCCCAGCTCTGCCAGCGCTGCGCGGTCGGAAATCCCCGGGGAGAGCGAACCCCTCGCTCCCCACACCGGGGCCGTCATTGTCTCGCAGCCGCCTCCCGCCGCCCTCGCTGCCCACGAGCCGAGCTCACCGCCGAGCAGGAGGATCCGCGGGGCAGGGCGGGGCCGTGCCGGGGCTCTGGTGCCCGGGGCTCTGGTGCCCGGGGCTCTGGTGCCCGGGGCTCTGGTGCCCGGGGCTCTGGTGCCCGGGGCTCTGGTGCCCGGGGCTCTGGTGCCCGGGGCTCTGGTGCCCGTGTCCCGCCGCAGAGGCCGCGGCCGTGAAGCGGAGCCGCTTCCTGCGCTGCCACCGCCGGCTCCGAGCCCTTTTATCGCGGGGCCGCAGCAGCGATTGGCTCCCGGCGTCGAACCGGCTTCCAGCCGCTCGCTCCTTTGTGTGGAGCCAACCTCTAACCCCAAACCTTCCCCGCTCCCCTCAGCTCCCCGCTCCCTGTCCCTGGTCGCCCGCAGCTCCCCCGATCCGACAGCGCCGGCCCGGGAGCGACCCTTCCGCTTTGTGGCCCAGGGTGCAATTACCCCCCGGTAATTAGCTTTTCCAGCGTCTCTCCCGTGTGAGATTGCGTGTGCGGATTGGCCTTGCTCCAGGCTTTGGACACGGCCTTGGACTCTCTCCGCATGGCACTGACCCACCCCGGTAAGGGATCCCGTAGCATCCCAAAACAATCCATCTCTCCAGCGTCTGCAAAAGCCAAATTTCCCACACATGCGCCTCAACTCACTGTTTGCATGGGAAGGATCTTATCAGGCAGCAGCAGGAAAGGAGGATTCCAGTGCTCCTCACCCTCCAGAAGGACAAAACTGAGCTGCGATGGTTTCAGAAATCCAGGATTTATTCCATGGAGAGCTGATGAGCCAAGCGTGGGAGCGGGGCTGCAAAAGGTGGATCTGCCAGAGCAGGGTCCCATGGGCCAAGCACGGCCTGAACTATAAAGGCAGCTTCCCCTGGTGTTTGGAGGACTGGGATTTCCCCAGGAACAGGGCAAAACATCAGAAATAAATATAAATATTAATAGTTAAAACCTAAAGGTGGTTTCATGCCAGCTGAGGAAGCTGGAATGACCATGAGCCAGGAGAGAGGCAGCAGTAACCTGTAGCTCTGAGGACTTTACCTTAAGCTCCCAAAGCCCTCCAACAGGCCATAAAAAATATACAATGGAGTGATGGGAATATCTTTGAAAATGATGATGCAAGAACAAATATTCTTGTTTGGCTCCTGAACACAGTGTGGTGCCACTGGAAAGAGCCAAATGCTGGCTGGAGGTGTCCTGGAGCCTGAGCTCAGCTGCAGAGACAGGTGCTCTGTGAGCAGTTTGCCTGTAATTCCCTGCACAAAAACCACGACTGAGGAATTCACGGGAGTGTTTACCAGACAAGTAGACAGCAGTGATGTGATTTACCACCTCTGTCACTCTGCATTGCCCAGAGAGCATCTGTGCTGAACATGCTCTCTTGCCACAAATAAATGAGTGCAAATAAATGAGGAATTCCACTCTAGGTCTGAGCCAGCGGTGGGACGGTCACACACAGCCAGAGCGTCACAGAGCCAGGCACACGAGAGCATCCAAACACCCGAAACGAGGGCAGGCACCTGGGAAGAGAAGGAAGAGCACCCCCAACAATCGCTGCTTATCATTGGCAGGATGAAAGCCTTACAAACCTTGGAAAAAGTCTTGTGTTTGGACAGGCCTCTGCATACCCCTGGCTGGCAGAAATCCTGTTCCACAGAATCAGCCTGTTTGGCAGATGATTAATTACCCCATTTGCTAGACTTTAGCAATGGGACTGATAACCACGGGGCAGGAGTAACCACATGTGAGAACAGACTTTTCTCTGATGCTGGAACTTCACTGTCCCTTGTGCCTGAGCTCAGACCTGTACACACCTACACACACATGTTCACACACGTGTACACACCTGCACACACACATGTTCACACACCTGCACACACACCTGCACACACACATGTTCACACACCTGCACACACACATGTTCACACACATGTTCACACACCTGCACACACACCTGTACACACACATGTTCACACACCTGCACACACACCTGCACACACACCTGCACACACACATGTTCACACACCTGCACACACACCTGTACACACACATGTTCACACACCTGCACACACACATGTTCACACACGTGTACACACCTGCACACACACATGTTCACACACCTGCACACACACCTGCACACACACATGTTCACACACCTGCACACACACCTGCACACACACATGTTCACACACCTGCACACACACCTGCACACACACATGTTCACACACCTGCACACACACCTGCACACACACATGTTCACACACCTGCACACACACATGTTCACACACGTGTACACACCTGTACACACACATGTTCACACATACAGGCTGTGTCCGCCTGTGCCCACCCGGGGCCGGGGGTTGCAGGACCCAGCAGCATCCCCGTTGCCTTTGAAACCCGCCAGGCCCGCGGGAGGGAGCGGAATCGAGGATTGGGATTGGGATTGGGATTGGGATTGGGATTGGGATTGGGATTGGGATTGGGATTGGGATTGGGATTGGGATTGGGATTGGGATTGGGCCGGGGCCAGGACCGGGGCGCTGAGCCTCCCTGCCCGCAGGGGGCGCTGCCCGCTCCGGCCGCTCGGCCGCCGCTCCAGCCAGCGCCGCAGTGTCGGTGGCACATGATGGCGGAGGAGAGCGGCGTTTGCAGCTTTGTGTTCAAGAAGCGGGTCCGAGCCGCGGGCAGCGGCCGGCGAAAACGGCCCGGCAGCGACCAGGAGCGGGGTGAGGGCTGGGGGACCCCGGGAGGTGCGGGGAGCCGGGGCGGGGCGGTGGGGAGGCGAGGGAGGTCCTGGTGCCGCCTCCAGCGCTGCCCTCCCCAGCCGCTGTGCGTGCGGCCGAGGGCGTGAAGCACCCTGCCGCTGTGACAGAGCGGATTTAGGGTGGATATTAGGAGAAGGTTCTTGCCCTGGAGGGTGGTCGGACACTGAGCAGGCTTCTCCGGAACGGTCACGGCCCCAGGAGCGTTTGGACAACGCTGCCAGGGTGGGATTGTTTGGTCTCCCGTGGGCGTCCCCAGCCCGCCGAGGGCAGGGGCTGCCTCAGGCCGGGCCCATGCCCCTCACGCCGGGCTTTCCCCGCAGAGAGCAGTGGGGAGGAGGGCAGCAGCGTGGTGCGGAAGGAGCGACGGCGGGACACCCCCAACCCCATGATCCAGAAGGTAAAGGAGCTCCGAGGGAGCGCCTGCTCCATCCGGGGCTGCCTGTGGTGCCCGCCAGGCTCAGCCAGGCAGGCTGGAGTGCTGGAGCCTTTCCTCCCCCATCCCTGCCGTCTCCCCCCAGACCAGGCGCTGCGCGAGGGAGAGGCCGGAGTACGCACTGAGCAGCAGTGAGGATGAGGATCCTGCCAAGGACATCGGTGTCGCCTACAAATCCACCAGGTCGGCGGTAAGGACAGGCAGCAGGGGCCCTGGCATGTCAACTCAGGTGGGACTGGGGATCCTGCTCCTCACAGACAGAATTTGCCACTCTAAACATGGGATTGGACGTTCTTTCTTATTAATGCACCTCGCTGTCCCCTCTTAATAGCCAAGCACCTTGTGCTGGCTTCATTCTGATAGTACCTCCCTCCACGGGAGGCCTTTAAAGGTTGGTCTTTCCCTCTTAGAGGTGAGAGTTAAAACTCCAGGATGCCACTGGACTTGCCCAACACTGCACAGACTTTTCAGGAGAGGGAGCAGTTGGATCAGGTTTGCTCAACTGTTGGGTTTCTGTTTTCATTACTAGACCATCTTTGCTCCCAAGGGAGGCAGTGTTTGGTTTTCCCAACCTTCTGGAGAGAATGGGAAGGGATGGGAGGAGGTGAGAGCTTTGGGAGTCTGCAAGCTTTTGGCACCCAAGTTGGATTTGTCTTTAATTGAGGCTGCCTGTAATTATTCTCTGGTTTCTGTGCAGCTTGAAGAGGTGATAAAAGCTAAGAATAGGTATCTGTTCAGTCCATTAAAGAGGAATCTAAACCAGATCACTGGGTTGAAACTGAATTTTAGCCACCCCCAGCTGGTTCAGAAGCTCAGTAACATCCTGTGTGTGGGCAGGAGGGCCCCGTGATTGAAGTGTCGGACATGGGTGAACTGAGTGGGGCTTCCAGCTGAGCTGGGGCTGAGTGTGAAGGAGTAAAATAAGTGTTCCCTGACAGCAGGCTAAAATTTGGGAGCAATGGGGAATTAGCATTCTGGCCTCTGTGCACACTAGGCTGGAGCCTGTGGTGAATTCTCCCTAGCAAATGCCAAGGGATAAAGCAGGTGTGTCCAGTCCTTGTGTCTTGTCTGTGACAACCCTTCAGGCAGCCAAGCTCTGTCTTGTCCAAGTGTTCCCTTCACTCTTGCCACAAGTTTTCCTTGCTTTTCAGAAACCTGTTGGCCCAGAAGACATGGGAGCCACAGCAGTGTATGAACTGGACACGGAGAAGGAGAAGGATGCCCAGGCCATCTTTGAGCGCAGCCAGAAAATCCAGGAGGTGAGTCAGCCTTGCTCCTTAGGAGCTCATGCTGTGCAGTCCGAGAGCCTTCTGCACACCAAGAAGAGTTAGAGTCTTGTCCTCCCTAGAAGTTCAAGAAGGCAGGAGCGTAACCCTTGCAAATAGGGAAGTTTTGTGGCTTTATTGGCATCTTGGTATTAAAGCAGGGTGGGAAGGAAGACTGATGTCAGGGTGGTGACAATTAATCCATGTCATGAAGCCCTCCTGATCCTTAATCATCTCTTCTTGCTTTCCTAGGAGCTGAGAGGAAAGGAAGATGATAAAATTTACCGTGGCATTAACAACTACCAGAAGTATGTGAAGCCCAAAGACACATCGATGGGAAATGCCTCTTCAGGAATGGTCAGGTTGGTTGGGATGAGCCCTGGGGGTCTGCGATCACAGAGGAGCTCAGGCACCATCCCAAGGTGGTGTTTGGGGCTGGAACTCTGCTGTCACTGCCAGCTTTTGCCTGACCAGTGTGGTGTCTGGTTCTGGCCAGGGCCCTGCTCCAGGGCCACTTTGCAGCCAGGCTGAGCCCTCTGCCCCCCTTTCAGGAAAGGCCCCATCCGTGCTCCAGAGCACCTGCGGGCCACAGTGCGCTGGGACTACCAGCCCGACATCTGCAAGGACTACAAAGAGACCGGCTTCTGTGGCTTCGGGGGTGA